GATTTCCTGCTTTCTATCTCTCTGTCTCTCTCTGTCTGTCTGGCGAGCGCACGCGCCCTATAGCAAAAACCTCTCCAAAAAAAAAGGAAAATCTTTTCAGTTCTCAAATGTTACAGATTAGAAAGCACTATAGCACTATAGCAACAGCACCTACATAGATGTTTTCTGTAGGTAAAATGTCCTAGGAAATACATTTTAAATCTGTATTTAATAGAAATATGTGGGGCTGGCAGGTGGTATGAAAGTTAAGACGCTGGACTCCCACATGGCTGACAACCGTTTGAGTCCTGGATGTGGTAGCTTGCTTTCTCACTTTCCTTTCTCTTTCTCTGTTTCTCTCTGGTCAAATTAAAAGATAATAATAACAAAATAAAATAAATAAATATATATAAAAAAAGAAAGAAATATGCATAGAGTCCCAGCCTATGTGATACAACATCCTGGACTTCAGTGCTGGAAGCCACAGGGCTGACTGTGAGTTTGGAACTCCAGGTCAGCCTGAATATAGGCCAGGTGTATGTGTGGATGCCCAAGATCTAAGGGGCTAGAAGGCTGGGGAATGGGGACTGAAGTATAATGTGACCCTGCTGAGGGTGCTTCCTCTCTCTCTCATGTGTGTGTGCTTGTGCTCTCTATCATAAAAAAAAAAAAAAAAATGCATAAGGAAATTTCACTCTCAGCATTTTTCTACATAAGAAGTTACTGCATACCATAGAAGACAATGCTAAAGTTTTTACTTAAATCACCTCAGACACATTGTGGAATGGTATTCATATGGCAATGGTATAAACACTCCTGAAGAACACATAACCTTAATATAAGGCTACACAGGATGATTATTATTTTCCACATTAAAAGTTAATCATTTAGGACTGATCTAAACTCTATTGACACATAACCTGAAGAATTTTAAGATATTTGAGGGTTGTTTTATGCAGGAAGTACAGTCATATATTCTGCCTACAATCACTTCAGGAAAGCACTATTACCAGGAAAACACTATTATCTATCATCTGTCTATATTGGAAAGTAGAATTAAAACAGGTCACAATAAGAAACTAATAGATAAAAGCTAAGAAAAAGAAAGTGTTTTTTAAAAGGTGGGCATTTGGAGGCCAGCTGGTGGTATGGTGATTAAGGGGCTGGACTGCTACGTGGCTGACCACAGTTTGAGTCACAGACTCAGTGGCTGAAAATCATGCTGGGTATGTGTGTCTGCATGCCCAAAATTCTGAGAAGAGAAGGGAGGAAAAGGGATTGCTGTGTGTCCATTCCTCTTGTGGGAATGATTTCTCACTTTCCCTCTCTCTCTATCTCTCTGCCTCTCTCCTCTCTGTCAAGTGCACATGCCTTATGACAAAAATACAAAACCTTAAAAAAAAAAAAAAACAAGTTGGCCATTTGAGTCTTTAGCCTCCCTATGTAGACTGATAATCCATACATAGTCTCAAAGTCAATATACTTACTCTGTGCCCGTGAGTCTTATAAGCAGCTTTTCCTGGCCCTACAAATGTTAAATGGTGAACTATTAAATCACTAGTAAGATTTGAAATGCTATTTTAATTTTACTGTTAGGACGTGGTCAACTTTATTAAAAGCAGTTTACAATGGGTCATCACAGGCACATACAGTACTTAATTTTAGATTATGATAGTACATAAATCCTCACAAACAATATTCATAGAGGCCAAAATGCAATAAAACACATACTCTGAAGCCCATTGTAATTAAGAAGCCCCTTACTTTTATCTGCTTTATGGTAATATCCCTGAGAATAGACAGGAAGGAAGCAATTTAATTTTTTTCCTAGAATTACTTATTTAATTTTATTTGTTACTATTTCTTAAACTTGACCAGAGAGAAAAGATAGAGAGAAACAAAGGGAGGGAGCAAGCCACCAGGTCTAGGACTTGAACTGTAGCCGGCCATGTGGGAGGTCCAATCCGTTAACCACCATGCCACCTGCTGACCCCAGCAATTTAATTTTTGAAAGACACACAATCTATTTCCTGCTCAGAAAACAGAGATGTCTACTATTGGGTCATCACAAAAGCCATGATGCATTTTTGTATAGAAAAATACATGACTTTTCTGACAACCTAATACATAGCTATCTGCCTAATTTTTCTAACACCTGATTGTTCTTGATTTAGTGGGTCTTTCTCATAAGAATTTCAAATCTCAAAATAAGGATGTTTAAAATAATTACTGCTATAAAACTGTAATAATTTGAAGGACTTTCCTAGAGTGTACATACTCAAACCTAGATGGTAGAGCCTACTATACACCTAGGCCATATGGTATAATCTAATAGGGCCACTGTTGTATACATGGTTTGTCACTGACCAAAATGTCATTATATGGTGCATGACTTTATCTATACTATATGAAAACAAAAACATTCATACTTCATCAAAACTAAAAACACGTAACAACCAGATGTGGTGCATGGTTCTCAATGCAATGCTAGTTTGGACAAATTAGATAAAATATTTTCAGCTCTGCTGGGGAAATCTGAGTATGGTTTGGGTAGTAGATAAAGTATAAATTAACTAAACAAAAAGATGGATATCATTATCTAAAGAATCAGGTTATAAGGCAGTATATGCACCATGATCCTGTTTAAATGAAAATTGTGTATGCATATATGAGTGCATACAGAAAAACTTGGAAGGCTATTCCTTAGGGTATTCATCCCTGGATTGCTTAAAATTTTTAAAATATTTGCACATGTGTCTGGCAAGCGCATGCGCCCTATAGCAAAAATCTCTCAAAAAAAAACCAAAACAATGATAAGGAATAAATATATAATTTCATATGTTTAGTACACAAAATAAGAGGTTTTTGCTATAGGGCATGTGTGCTTGCCAGAAAGACAGAGAGAGACAGAGAGATAGAAAGTGAGAAATCACCCCCCAGGCGGGAATGGCCACACCGCAATCCCTTCTCCTACATTCTCCTCTCAGGATCTTGAGCATGCACGCACACATGCCCGGAGTAAGTTTAAGCCACCGGCTTAAACTCTGGGACTCAGACCGCAGTCGACTACATGGGAGTCCAGTGACAGAGCCATTACACCAACTGCTGGTTGGAGGGAAGAATTTTTAAGAACTGAACAAAGGGGTGCTGGATTCCCACATGGCCCACCATGGTTCAAGTCCCAGACCTGGCAGCTTAAAGATCACACTGGGTATATGTGCGTGTGTGCTCAGAATCCCAGGAGAAGAAGGGATTGCAGCATGGATATCCCCCGGCGACTGATTTCTCACTTTGTCTCTGTCTCTCCCCTCTCTGGTGAACAAATGTGCCCTATGGCAAAAACCTTAAAAAAAAAGAAGTGAAGAAATTCATATGAAGAAACTATAGAGCAATTAAATCAATACCATCTCCAAAAAGTTATACTGTAAATTTTTGTTGCAATGCCTAAAACACTGACCTCTTGATAAACAAACTAAAAGAAGTTAAAGTACCATTTCTCATCAAAGATTATAGCCAGCATATAGCCTGGTACATAAAACTATATAAGCAAATTGTTTTAAGCAAAATGAAATGAAGTTTCACTGTGTAAAAGATCATATACAGTGTTGAGACTTGAGATTGCAGGAAACTCGGGTAAATTAACAAACTGCCTGGGCTTTGTTTATATTCAACAAACAGGAAATAGTAGAAGACATATACAATGGTCAAATTAGTAGAGTCAGGGCCTGGACAATCCAAAAAGAGGCACTTTGGATGATAGCAATAACAAGAGGAACATTCCAAGCAGCTCTAAAGCATCCAAATGTGTCTAGATCCTTGACCTAAGAGAGGTAATGAAATCAGTGCCAGTATTGCCAAAATACTTTAACACCATGGAGAATATTCCACCAAAGTGCATGACGGTCTAGCTGGACTTGGAGCTAATTAACTAACATGGTGATGGGCTTTATTTACTGGGCAGAAGCAATCTCAGATATATTGGATTTTTTCTCCAGATATAGGCCACAGAATGTTTACAAGTTTGCTTTAGAACATACTTTCACTGACTGAGTACTCTCTGAACCTCAGCAGGCCTTCCCCCCACCTGCCACTCTAACTGAGCATTCCAGGCCTCATGGGACCCCAATATCATTGTGATATGCAATCTTTCCTCTGGAAGGCAGAAAATAACTCTGAGCAAAATGTTCTGATAAATCTGCCATCCTACTTTATGTTGAAGATTTCTTAGATTTTCAAGGTTAAACACCATTCAATGTGAATTAGCTAAAAATACTTGAAAGAAAAAAAGTTTTATTTTAAGACATAGTATTCTAGTTGAATTTGATACTCAAAATAACTTAGTCTGTAATGTGCCGGAATCAGGGCCTGCTGGTGGCATGGTGTTTGAGGTGGCTGGATCTCACTTGGTCATGGTGGCTTCAAAAACACACTGGGCATGTGTACATGGATGTCCACAATCTCAAGAGGCAAATGGAGGAGAAAGGATTGCAGAGTGGCCATTCCTCCCAGGGGTATTTTCTCTCTCTCTCTTTCTGTCTTTGTTTCTCCAAAGAACATATGTGCACTGTAGCAAACTAAAAAGTGACAGAATTATTAGGTGGTCAGAAAAGTCAGGAGGCATTTTCATATAGAAAGAGTAGGTCATGACTTTTCCGATAATCCACTATATTCTAAGGCACTTAGCAGAAATGCCAATCTTTTTCTTTCCATTCAGCAGCAGAACCTTATAAATGAGCTAGCTTTCTATTATGTAACTGGGGCTATGCTACAACTAACTTTTTAAAAATTGAAAATGAACAAACTTTTATACCACTGGTCACCTATACACTATATATATGCATTTGTAAATCTTTAACAAAATTACTTTTGCATCTTTTAAAAACTTAACTTTGAATTGTCATAGAAATAAGTAAAATGCATATTTAGCCAACTGCCTGTGGAAAGAATAATACACTTGCAACGCACCTGGGACTACTTGGGTTATGAAATTCATCAGTCCCACAGCTGGTCTCACTGAGCCCAGGGCAGGGGTCATGCACAGCATAGACAGACATGCTGGGATGTTCAATGAGAAGGTTTTCCATAGGACTTGTTTCCACTTTGATAGTGGTTAATCCACCTGCGGTAAAACACGGGGGAGGGGTTATAAACCAGCTCTCCTCCATTGGACAGGACTCAAACTGGAGGAAGCAGGAATCACTTGTATCAGCCAAGCACTCAAGAGAGGCAGGCAAACAGGAAAAAACTGAAGGGTGCTCGGTAGGTGAGTCCTCACTGATGTCGTCATCTTCCTCCTCTTCTGCTGAGAAACCAGTGCAAGTATCTAGATCATAGTCACATCAGAGTCCACGTGTGGATGAACAGTCCCGTGGAAGGAGGATTGGCACAGCATGCAGTCATCATGGAACCATCCAGCAAATTCAAAGCACAGAAGAAGAACAGATGACACCGTTAGCTGGAGCTTACTTTCTTCCTTTACTTAGTTCAGAAACAAAACTTCCTATATTCAATCAAAGTGATTATAAAATAATTTTTGGCTGGTCCCATGGCCTAGTGATTAAGGGAGCTGGATTTGCATGGACAACTGCAGTCTAAATCCCAGCCCCAGTGGCTTGAAAAGCACATCAGGTGTGTATGCTTGTGTCCAGAATCTCACCAGCACGGAGAAATGGAGAAAGGGTTGTGGCATGACCATGCCCCACTAGGGGGTGTTTTCTCCCTCTCCTTCTATTTTTGGCAAGCACACATTCTCTGGCAATTAAAAAAAAATTAAAGTAATTTCTGAGCACCTAGTGTATGTGGTTCTGTCACTGCCTGGGATGGATTATGGTGGCTTTGCAGGAATGGTTTCAGGACTGTTTCTGTTTTATGGATTAAATGTATAATGAGACATATGGATTATTGTTTGTTTAATATGAGGGTTTCCTTTTAAAGTGCTTCTAATTTGGTCAGGCTGTAAGAACTTCAAAACTGGAAAGTCTGACATCAACCAATTTCACTGACTGATTTTCTGGCACAAAATATTTATTGCAAAATTTTTTTTATATAAATTCTTGTTTACTTACATATTTAGGCTTGTTTAAAAAAAATTTTTTTTTTTGTTTTAGGGAATGTGTGCTTGCCGGAGAGGGACAGATATAGAAAGAGAAATAGAAAGTGAGAAAGCACCCCCAGGGAGATGGCCACACCACAGTCCCTTCTCTCCACTCACCTTGTGGGATTTGGGGTGTACATGCATATATGTCTAGCATCTTTTCAAGTCGTTAGGTCCAGGACTTGAACCGTGCCATCAGCCATGTGATATCTACCCCACATTAAACACCACGCCACTGGTTGGCCTGTGTTTAATTACTTTTAAGGCTTAAAAACCTTCTGAGTTGGGCCAGCCAGCAGCACAGTGGTTAAAGTCACTTGAACACACAAAGCGTGCTGCACGGTTCAAGTCCTGGATCCCATGGCTTGAAAAAGCATGTCAGGTGCAGGTGCATGCATACCCAAAATCCCAAAAGGAGAATGGAGGAGAAGGAACTGTGGTATGGCCACCTCTCCTGGGTATTTCTCTTCTCACTTTCTTGTTCTCTCTCTGGCAAGTGCACACACCCTATAGAAAAGAAAATCTTCAGAGTAACTGGTTTACTTATGCAAAAATTAGGTGCCTAAGTTTCCACTTTTATTAGGAAGATTAACCACTTGAGTGTACTTTACCTATGAAGTCCACAAGAATCCATTCATCATCTTCTTTCTCACTAAATTCTGGTTCTTGGTTGGAAGAAGTATTGACTTCACCCACAAACATTTTATTCAGCCTCTGGAACATTGTTAAGGCAAGACTGAGACTTTGGCTGGCTGTCCTTATAGCTGAGATTTGAGACTTGTCTTCAGTTGGCCCAATGGCACCGACAGGAGATTAAAGTGCACAGGGTGCTTATTCAACTTAGGTGAGAAGCAAGAACAGTCATTATCCCTACAAGAAAACAGAATGAAGAATATTTAAAATCAGCAAACACTTATATGTGTATATAAGCACACACACAGGTGCACACATACACCCCCTCCTGCAGGAGTGAGGCACAAGAATTACAACTTCTCTTATTTACAAAACATGAATTGAGTACTCAAATGCAAACTGTAAATACCTTAAAATGTGAAATAAAAGGGAAGGAGTTGGTTCTTTTTCACATCTGTGCTTTTATAGTAAGGGATAAATTTGAATAACGTACTTCAAAGTGCTATACCCCTTTTCCATAAGGAAAAGAGTGAAACTAGATATTAATGGTGTTGCTGTATGATATTCAACTGCCCCAAAGTGTTCAGATGAACCCAGCAACAGTGCCCAGTAACCATAGTCATGGCCAAGCCCTCATCTTTCCCTGGTGCATTTTCCTTTCTGTTCTGTCCTTCTTATACATTAGGTCATCAACAAAGTCACAGCATATTTTCCATGTTTTTCTATGTAAAAATATGTCATGACTTTCCCAACGACCCAATAGGGTTTTAAGCATGTCTAATTACATATAAAATCTTTTAAGTATTCAAAACGCTTCTTACAGGAGGCATGGAAAAATTTTTACTGTATAAAATTGAGCTGGGCAACAACCAATGCTGGAAATGTCATCCCTTGTGCCACAGCTCAGAAAGTGGGTGCCAGAGTCAGTGTGCCTGGGTTCAAATCCCAACTCTGCCACTTACTTGATAGCTGAGTTAGAAAGCTACACAATTTCTACTGGTAATACCTCCTAAGGGAGTTCCAGTGAGTCCTAAAGGAGGAGCTCCAACCTTGCTTGATCTTATTCCAGAGTTCCAGGTTTACATATTCCTACCTGGTTACCTGATAGACATAGCTAACCAAATACATATTTAAAAAGCTTTTTTTGGACCAGCAGTTAGCGTAATGGCTATGTCGCTGGACTCCCATGTAGTCAACCGCGGTTTGAGTCTCGGACCCAGTGGCTTAAACTCACGCCGGGCACGTGTGCGTGTGTGCCCAAGATCCTGAGAGGAGAATGGAGGAGAAGGGTTTGCAGCATGGCCAACCCCCTGGGGGGTGATTTCTCACTTTCTGTCTCTCTGTCTCTCTCTTTCTGGCAAGCACACACACCCTATAGCAAAAACCTCTCCAAAAAAAAAAAAAAAAAGCTTTTGTTTGTTTTTTGTTTGTTTGTTGAGAGAGATTTTTGCTATAGGGCGCATGCATTCACCGGAGAGAGAGATAGAAAGCGAGAAATCACCTGTTGGGGTGATAGCCACACCACAATCCCTTCTCCCCCAGTGTCCTCTCAGGATTTGGGGCATGCACACACATGCACCCAGCTTGAGTTTGAAGCCGCCATGTCTAGGATTTGAAACACAGTCGATTACATGTGAGTCCAGAGATGTAGCCATTATGCCATCTGCTAGTCCCTCAAAAAAGCTTTTAAATTTTCTTCACCAACTTATCCCTGTACACTATCCTTCATGCCCTTCTCAGTACAGTAGCCAGCAGTTACTCAGGCCAAGAACATGGAAGTTGCCCTTGATTCCTTTTGCTCCCTCCCACCAACTCCCTCATCCAAACTTTCAGCAAGTCTTGCTGAGTCTAGCTGCATAGGTGGTTCAAATCTGCCTCTTCCTCCATCACTCTCAGTCTAGTTTAAGACAACCTGGTGTCTCTCCAGCACTTTGCCAAAACCACCTCCTAGACAGATTTGCCTCCTCTTGTTAAATGAGCCAGTGCAGGCAGTGTAGTTAGCAAAGTACTTGGCACAAACTTCTCAGTCCAGGGCAGCTATTGTTCTACAAACACTTACTGAGCACCTATTATCATATAGGAGGCATACTGCCGAGCACAAGGGACAGAGCCTTGAACAGGTCTCTCCCACTGCCACAGAAGGGTGTACTGGGTATTCCTCAGACCTCACTGGATGGGCCTCTCTAATCTTTAATCTCGAGTGGTTGAGAAGCTCAGGAATAGAGGTAGGGAGGGAAGGAATACTGTGGAAGCCTACAGGTGAGTGAGTGTGTGGTACCTTTAGTGAGGCTCAAGATCCAGAGGGAAGGTCACAAGAGCAGGCTGGGGAGCTAAGGAGAACCCAGATCCTTCAGGGCCTTGTAAGCCAGAAGTTAAGGGGAAGGAAACATCAAGGAAGACCCAGGTTTCCAGCATGGCCAACTGACAGGATGGTGAAGCCATTTGGTGGAACAGGAATACTGAAGAAAGTAGACAGCATTTTAGACATGCCGAATTCAAGAAATCTGCAAGTTAACACAGTGGGAGATGTCTAGTACACAGCTGAATAGAGGGCTTTGGCATTCAGGGAGGAGGTCTCAGCTGGGAGCTCAGATTTGGGAGTTGTCCACACACAGTGGGGTTCTGAGAAACCGGAAAAGTAGATGAGATCACCCAGGGCTGGTGAAAAGCACCTCACCAATTGACACTTCTTTTTACCACAAACATCAGTCTCAAATCCATAACTTCTGGCTGACATTTTATTTTCAGAAAAATCATTTTTAACTGTAAAAGTAGCTGGAATCTGTAGCTAATGAGACCCCTGGTTCAATTCCTTGTGTTTAAAGTGAAGTGCTACAATTACTTAGCACACAACTGAGAGTAAAATATTTTAAATAAATGACATTCAAACACTCTTGTAGTGAGAATTCACCATCCTCAGCCATTAATTATTAAAAGTGGGTAAACAGGAAGTGTCCCTTGCATAATCAGTCTTCTGAAACCTTCTGGAAAGCAACGTGGTCAGGTCATGAAGGCTAGAGCTTTAGCATAAGAATTCAAATTCAGCTTTATGTTCCATGTAAGAGAAATGAGAAATGTGGACCATGGAATTAGTTTGCCTAACCTACGGTAGTAAGTTAGCTAGAAGTTAAGCTATCACAAGGTCTGATATAAACAAAGGTTTTTGAGCAGACAAGCTAGGAAGGAAAAAATAGTTTCAAAATCTTTCCCCATATCTTATAAATTGCAGGAGCAGATGTTAGCCTCAACTATAATTCTGTGTCTGCAAAAAAAAATTGAGAAAATAATCCCGACGCTCCAGAATACAGGGCTGGACTCTGGCCCTGGAGCTGTGGGTGGGAGGGGAGAACTCTTGCTCACCCTGAATGAGTACATTGTCCCCCACTGTGCAGCTGTGTGAGGGTAGGGCACTGAGGGCTGGGCCAGGTGTGTGGCAGGTACAAGCAGAAAGCATTGTTGGAGCCACTGCGGTTAGGGCAGCTATAGGGTGCTCACATGCAAACTGCTCCCCCTGGCTATAGCTCCAAATCCATTTTATGGAAGCCAGCTTATGCCTGGAATATACTCAACCCTGTCACAGGAAAGGCTTCTCCAGAACAACTTTCTAACTAGCAGCACAAGTCAACGTTCTTTGGTTTTGCCAAGTCAGAGGCTGCCTCCAGATATTCCATGTCTCTGCCAAGACAACCAACCTCTGGTGGGCAGTGTTCAGCAGCCCAGCTAGGCAAGGGAAGAATCCACTCTTTATCTCACCTGAGTCACTAATGACTTCTTTTTTTAATTTTAATTTTTTGAAATGTTTTTGTTATAGGGTGTGTGCTCACCAGAAAGACAAAGAGACATCCCCAGGGGGGATGGCCACACCACAATCCCTTCTCCTCTATTCTCCTCTCAGGATCTCGGGCATGCACACACACACACCTGGCATGAATTTAAACCACGGGGTCCAGGACTCGAACTACCATCAACTACCTAGGAGTCCAGCAACACAGCCATTATGCCAACTACTGGTCCCACTGTTGACATTTACATGACATACTACTGGAGCCTGGGGGAAAGACTAGAATGGAGTAATTGGGGAGGGGTAAGGAGCCCTGGCCTAGGCACCAGTAAAAGACATTTTGACTTTACCACAGACAAGTGGTTGGAGCTAACTAATTTGGCCCTACTGAGCCTCAGTCTTACCATCAGAAAAGTGAGGGGTTTGTGTTGGATTGCCTCTTCACTTTATTTCCCCAAAAATGAAGAAGTGATGTCGATCTACCTATACAAAGAAAAGTTCCTTGGCCCTGCTTTCTGTAGTTGTCCCAAAGGACAAAGTGCTCTCTGAGATCTCTGTAGGCTAAAACTGTCCAGTCAGGCACACCAAGCAAATGAGTATGTGAAATGTTACTAGTATGACCAAGACATGAAATTTAAAATTTTAATTATGATCCATTTAAACTTAAGTAAGCTGAGAACTACGTCAATTTTTTGGAGAACTCTGAAGTATGTGTGAAAAGGATTTTAAGTGTGTTTGGAACAATTAGCATTTCAACTGTAAATTTCAGAATGTTTACAGATCAAGTATTTCCTATGGAAATTTTACATGCAAATTGAGATATGTTGTATACGTAAAATACATAAAATCTGAAAGACTCAGTACCCCCCCCCAAAATTTAAGACTGTAAAAGATCTCATTTGTCATTTTTATATTGATTACTTGTTGAAACAGTAAATAATTTTGGATGTATTAGGTTAAATAATAAAATTAATTTTACTTGTTTCTTTTTTCCTTTTTTAACATGGCTACTACAAAAAACTTATACATATAATGTACATTATGTATTTTTGTTGTACAGCAGTGTTCTAGAAAAAGCTCTCTAATCTTATTGGCCTAACCTCCCACGAATGACCCAGGACTGTCCCTGCCCAGTCACTGCCACTCTTGACCTTGGATTCTGCCCAGAGATGGAGGCTCTCGATGGGTTTGTTTCTATGTGGAGCTAAAAGGCAAAGCAGAGCTTGTTTCAGACTTCTCCTGATGTGGCCACTGATTTTTTGGTATTTCTAACTCTAGGGCAATGCTAAAACTAAAACTAAAATTCCAGAGAAAGTATGTGTCCTAAGAGGACAGCAAAGTTGTAGAAGCAAAGTAGCCCAGGTGGGGTAGCACTGCATCTCGAGTCACCTGCCGGCTTTGAGCTCTGACCAGCCTCAGCCCAGCCTTCTTCCCAGTGGAGAATAGCAGCAAAGTGTCTGGGCCCAAGCATTTCAA